GCAGTGAGGACTCAGCATTTTRTCACATCCACACAGTTTTGCAGAATGGACTTCTTAACCCTGGACCCCCTGAAATCAAACACTCTGTTTGCTGTTGGTCCCTTGCCAAGGGCCGTCCTCTGAGCGTTACCTGACCAGACGGAGCAGTCAGCCCTGTGCCTGATCCTGTGTGTGCTCAGTAGCGTGATGTCAGCGTTGCGTTTTCATGCTATTGTCTTTTTTTTTTTTAAAGAATTCCCAGTTCTTTTATTTTATTGACATTCAGTCCTGACATTTTTGTAATAAGTATGTTTTGACAGGCATCTCCGTATTTTTTTAGATGTTGATGGATTTTATTTTATTCATTTATTTATATGTGATGCTGAGAATTTAACCCAGTGCCTCACACATGTTAGGTGAGCGCTCCACGGAGCCCCAGCCCCAGCCCACTATTGTCATTTTGTATGACATTTTTCTGCTGAGGAAAGTGTTGATAGCTTTTGTCAGATTCTTTCTTTCTTTTTTTTTTTTTTTTGTACCGGGGAGTGAACTCCTGGCACTCAACCACTGAGCCACATCTCCAGCCCTTTTTTATATTTTATTTAGAGGCAGGGTCTCACTGAGTTGCTTAGGGCCTTGCTAAATTGCTGAGGCTGGCTTTGAACTCACAATCCTCCTGCCCTCCTCCTAAGCAGCTGGAATTTCAGGCGTGTGCTACCATGCCTGCTTTTATCAGATCCTCATAGGATCTGTGACCCCCAAGTCATTAACACTGGTGTAGACCCTGTGGGGCTGGAGCTGTCTCATCTGGACATGTCTCCTGTGAGTGCCTGAGGCCAGGGTCCTGAGGCCTGGACACCCCTGTCCCTCCAGCACGGTGGCCCCTGACCCAGGTGTGAGCTGGCACTTCTCCCTCCTCCAGCCCTTGAAGGCTGAGGCTACGTCAAAGGCCACGAGGGAGGCCCAGGCCAGACGCTGGCTTGCCAGGGATATGGGCGGGTGGCTCTGTGTCCTTGGTCTGGAGTGGAGATCGATAAGCAATTGTTTTTCTGTTGGCAAGGAAAAAAATTCTCCATTGACTTTCCCAGGTGCTGCCAGGCTGTCTTCTTTTCAGGAATGCTGGTGGCCTGTCAGGGGCGGCTCTGGAAGGGGAGACAGGCACCGGCCCCGCCAGGAGGAAGGACCACACTGCCGGGGTTGGGGAGCACACACAGGAGCAGGGGGCTCTCCAGGTCCTTAGTATATCACAGGAACATGTGACCACAGCCCAGCGGGTAGTAGGCGCTCAGCAGGTACAGCTGAGAGAACAGCTTTCGAGCATCTGACCCTATGCCAGGAGCGGTTCAAAGTGTCTGGCTTGTGTGAAGCTTCTGACCAGTGGTGGGTGCCCATTTTGGAGATAAGACAACTCAGGTTGCCGAAGGCTAAGGTGAGCCAGGAGAAGGAGGATCCCAAGCTATGTGACTCCAGGGCCCTGCTTTCCTCTTCTGGATGGATCATAAAAAGGATATGCAGAGCCATAACAGTGGGGGCTGTGGAGATGATTTCTTTTAAAAATACAATTTTGAGTGCTGGGGATGTAGCTCAGTTGGTAGAGTGCTTGCCCCACATGCACAAGGCCATGGGTTCAATCCCCAGCACCCCCCMAAAAAATTTTTGTTTTTGTTTTTTGAGCTGGGCACGGTGGTGCATGTCTGTAATCCCAGTGGCTCAGGAGGCTGAGGCAAGAGGATCGCAAGTTGAAAGCCAACCTCAACTTCTCGAGGTCCTAAGCAACTCAGTGAGACCCTGTCTCTAAATAAAATACAAAAACAAGGGTTGGGGATGTGGCTCAATGGCTAAGTGCCCCTGGGTTCAATCCCTGGTACCAAAAAATAACAATAAAAATACATTTTTTATTTTTTATTTTTTTATTTTTTATTTTTTGAGAGAGTGAGAGAGGAGAGAGAGAGAGAGAGAGAGATAGAGAGAGAATTTTTAATATTTATTTTTTAGTTCTCGGCGGACACAACATCTTTGTTGGTATGTGGTGCTGCTGAGGATCGAACCCGGGCCGCACGCATGCGAGGCGAGCGCGCTACCGCTTGAGCCACATCCCCAGCCCCTAAAAATACATTTTTTAATATTGAGTGTATACATGTGGCACAAAAGTAAGGATGGTGAAAAGCCATTCCCTCCCACTGTACCCCTGCCCTCAAAACAGTTATTTCTCCTTGGAACCCCTGTTACTGTCTTCTTGTGTATTTTTCCAGAAATCCACAGTGCATGTGCCATCCTAGACATGCATGTGGACCTTTCCTCCTGGGCCAGCAGTAGCCACTAGTGCTTCGGTTTTTCCCTGTAACAGTGTGTCTTGGCACTAATTCACACAAGATGCATAGAACCACCTGTCTTAAAATGCACACTTTTCTCCCAGGATAGGTATACCTCATTTTGTTGGCCGGGGGTGGTCATTTCAAACCACACTGCCAACATCACGTTGTGTTTACATCATTTTCTGCATGCGCAAGGTTGTCTATGGAGGGAATACCCAGGTGCAGGATTCCTAGGTCCCAGGTGTGTGCATTTGGAATTTTAAATACTGACGTATATCCCTCCATAGGGATGGTACCAGTTCACACCCTGGCAGCCCTGGATGAAAGCGGCCACTTCCCAGCAGCTGAGCCAGACGTGCCAATCTGATAGATGAAAGAAATGTGTTTTAACTGTAGTTTTATTATTTTTTAGGGGGAGGGTACCAGGGATTGAACTCAGGACACCCAACCACTGAGCCACATCCCCAGCCCTATTTTGCATTTTATTTACAGATAGGGTCTCACTGAGTTGCTCAGTGCCTTGTTTTTGCTGAGGCTGGCTTTGAACTTGTGATCCTCCTGTCTCAGCCTCCCAAGCCTCTGGGATTATAGGTGTGTGCCACCATGCCCGGCTAGTTTTCTTCTTAATTTTACTAAAATACATGGAACATAAAATTTACCCTCTTAACCACTTTTAGTGTTATAATTTGGTGGCATTAACTATATCCACTGTGTCATGTGGCCATCACCATCTAGTTTCAGAACTTTCCAACATCTCCAGAAGAAACTTGGTGCCCCTGAGGCAGTCACTCATTTCCTGCTCAGCCTGTCACCTGCGTTCTGCTTGCTTCCTCTGCCAACTAGAGTCTTGCTGGTGCCTCATGGAAGTGAGACCGCTCACCTAGTAACCAGCTTGTTTGGTGGAGCCTGGTGGCTTCAGGATTCTTAGTATTAGTCAGAGTTTCTTTCCTTTTTATGGCCCTCGGGTGGTTCCACCACATTCTGTTTATCCATTCATCCATCAATGGACTCTTACTGCCTTCTCTCTACCTTTTGGCAATTGTAGGTCGCGCTCACGCTGCTGTGAACATTGACTTATGAGCCTTTGAATCCCTGCTTTCAGTTCTTGGGTGTGTTGACAGGGAGAGGAGTGGCTCTGTCAGCTCACCCAGCCACTGCGCTGCAAGTTTGAATTTCCACTTACTGTAAAGGAGGCTGAGCCTCTGGGCACACGCCTGGGTTCACTGAGGTTCTTTCCCCAGGAGCTGTGTGTGCCAGTGCTGGGACGAGGCTGTTTCCCTCACTGCTTTTCTCACTGGACTTTCCCTGCCATGTGCCCCCGCTCAGGAGGAAGGACTATTTCACGAGGGCCCAGGGACAGTGCACTGCCACCCTTGCATTTTTCCTGTGTGTGCTCACCGCCAGTGTGGGCGATGAGCATGGCACCGCCACAGCTGTGATGTACTCACTGAGTGCCAGCGGCGCCTGTGACATTTGTCCAGCAGAATTTGTCAAACACATGAACTAAAGGTTAATATTTCTATCCCAGAGACGGAGGGAGCTGGCAGCCTAAGGGAGAGTGTCATTCTCTTTTTTAAAAAATCAAGATAAAAGTTCACATAACATGGAAGTAATCTGTGTGTGTGTGTGTGTGTGTGTGTGTGTGTGTGTGTGTGTGTGTGGTGGTAGGGATGGAACCCAGAGCCTTGTTCATGCTACACAAGCTTTCTGCCACTGAGCTAAAGCAAACTTCAGGGGCATTTAGCACTTATATAAGATTATGCAGCTGCTGCCTCTGTTTAGATCCAAAACATTTGTCACTCCAAAAGGAAACCCCACCATTCATTAAGCAGCCACTCCTGATTCCTCCCCAGGTTCTCCTCAGCCCTAGGCAACCATTCATTTTTCTGTCTCTATGGATCTGCCTGTTCTAGAAATTTCATATCAATGGAATCATGCAAGTCAAAGTCTTTCGCCACTGGCTTTTTTTTTTTTAATTTTTTTTTGGTATTGGGGTGCTTTTTGCCAGTGAGCTACATCCCAGGGCCATTTTAATTTTTTTTTTTTTTTTGAGACAGGATCTTGCTAAGTTGCTGAGGCTGGCCTTGAATTTGCAATCCTCCTGCCTCAGCCTCCAACTCCCCTGGCTCACACACCGTTCTCTTGGTGATTGTCCTTTCTCTGATGAGACCCTGACCCCCACTTCTCAGTTGAGCATCATCTGCTGAGGCTAGGCCAGACCAGACAGCTGCTTGTACTTGGACAAATATTTTTCCCTTTCTTGGGCCTCAGTTCCTCAACACAGGGGTATAACAGCAGACTCACAACCTCTGGTGCTATGACATCATACTGATACATGTAAACTGTAAAGTGCTGTCTGGATCATTGCCTTGGGAAGGATGCAGTCAGGTGGAAGTGTTTCATTTGGCCTACCCAGTGTTTAAAAATATTTGAAATAATTAGGAAACAACAATTGGGTAGAGCCAGAAGTAGCTGCCAGCTCTGCAGGGCCCGTGCTCTCTTGGAGGTTACTTGGCTCCTGCAGGAATTGAATTTGGACTCCTTCCTCATGAGGTGCATGAGGAGGGCCTATCAGGAGGAAGTGCAGAGGTCAGATCACATCATGTTTTGCAGGATTTTGTTTTTTTAGGATGTGGATCCAAGGCAGAGGTTAGGCCCCAGCCTGGGCCCCTACGCCCTGCTTTCTGACTCTCTCTTTCTCTGCAGGTGACGCTCTGCCGAATGGGAGAGCCCGGGCCCCTTGGATGAAGTGGCTGCACGCACCATGTCATCATGTGTCACTAGCCAGCTCAGCAGCGACCAGGCCGCCCCCCAGGATGAGCTGGGGGGCGGGGGCGGCAGTAGCGAAAGCCAGAAGCCCTGTGAGGCCCTGCAGGGCCTCTCGTCCTTGAGCATCCACTTGGGCATGGAGTCCTTCATCGTGGTCACCGACTGTGAGCCGGGCGGTGCTGTGGACCTCGGCCTGGCCAGGGACCGGCCCCTGGAGGCCGATGGCCTACAGGCCCCCCTTGACGCTTCGGGGCCCCAGGCCCTGCTCCACCTCTCAGGTCGCAAGCTGTCCCTGCAGGAGCAGTCCCAGGGTGGGCCGGCGGCCAGCAGCAACCTAGACATGAACGGCCGCTGCATCTACCCGTCCCTGCCCTACTCGCCCGTCAGCTCCCCGCAGTCCTCACCGCGGCTGCCCCGGCGGCCCACCGTGGAGTCTCACCACGTCTCCATCACAGGGATGCAGGTGCGTGAGCTGCCACCGCAGTGTCTGGGTCAGCTGGGCATCCCAGGAGGATCCCGTGCAACCATGGAGCTGGAGGGAACCCCAGGAAACTGGCAGGGTGGCGAGGAATGAGTCTGCCTTGGAAGGAAGAAAGTCCGCAAAGGCACGTGGGCAGCGGCCTTGACGCTTCGGGGAGCCCTGGGCACACGCAGCCCAGCAGCCTCAATGCCCAGCCTAGGGTGAGGGAGCCCCAAATGCTCTGCTCAGGCTGCCATCCGTCCTTGTGAGGAACACTGGGGTGGGAGGCCACCTGTGTGAGGGTGACCAGAGCATCTCCAGAGCCAGGGGGTCTCTGCCAAGAGAGGCAAGGGCTGGGGGTGCTGGGGTCCCCTCCAGAGCAGCCCAGCCCTCTCTCCTGTGGCCCTGCCTTCTCTTCTTCATGTGCTCCTCAGCCTCTCATGACCTGTGTGTTTCTCTGGTTGTTACTGCCTGTCTCCCCCAGGCTGGAGCTGCGGCTCCCCAAGAGCTGCCTCCACACCGCTGGGTCCTCAGCAGCTGGCCCAGGCACTGGTGCACAGGAGGAACTTGAACATAGCATATTAAGAAGGAATGAGGGGCTGGGGATGTAGTCAGTTGGTAGAGTGCTTGCCTCACATGCACAAGGCCCTGGGTTTGATCCCCAGCACCACACACACACACACACACACACACACACACACACATACAAAAAAAAAAGAATGAAAGCTGGGTATGGTGACAGTGCTTGTAATCCTAGTGACTTGTGAGACTCAGGCAGGAGGCCAGTCCAGGCAACTTAGTGGGACCCTGTCTCAAACAGTTAACAAGTGCTGGGATATAGTTCAGTGGTAGAACACTCCTGGGTTCAATCCCTACTATAAAATATATATTTTTTWAAATTTATTTTTTAGTTTTAGGTGGACACAATATCTTTATTTTTATGTGGTGCTGAGAATCAAACCCAGTGCCTCATGCATGCAAGGCGAGCACGCTACCACTTGAGCCACATCCCCAGCCCCCCTACTATAAAATATTAACAATAATAATTGAATTAGAAGAAAACTCTTAATTGGCTGGTTTTAAAGGAGCAACCTGGCTATAGGGACTGCATTTTGAAGGCAAGGTAGAGCTTCCATAATTGGACATGTGTACATAGAAAGGTCAGTGTAGGGAAGTCTGCACCCTGAGCAAAGGCCGCGGGGTGGAAGGTATGGTGGGGGGAGTGAGGGGTTTAGTTAGCTGGAGTATAAGGCCAATGATGAGGGGTGCCATGCTACAGACACTCCCCTTCCCGGAACAGTGGTTTTAAGTGGCTTTAACAGTGCATGTTTATCATGCAGAATAAATCTGGTGCCAGGCATTCGGGGACTTGGTGTGGTGGTTCTGTGGTGGTGGCCTCTGCCTTCACAGCTGTGTTCCAGGCAGGAAGAGGGAGCTGGGGAGAAGGGCAGAAAGTGGCTGCCTCCTAAGGTAGTCCTCTTTCCTGCAAGTTCTATCCACCAACTCCTGCCTGTCTCCCGCTGGCCAGAACACAGCCACGCAGCCACCCTAAGATGTAATAAGCTGGAAGTGAAGTTTGCCAGATGGGACATTGCCTCCCAGAGGTCTGTTTAGAAGGAGAAAGGGGAAAACTAGTATTTGGTGGACAACTAAGTGCCTTGTGCAAGGTCAGAGTTTTAGGGGCCTTTGAAGGCCAGGCCATGGAGTCAGCCTGCAGCCATGAAGTGGCAGGAAGCCAGGGCTGGACTGTTGGAACTGCCCGTCACATCCCTCCAGGGCTCAGGGGAATGAAAGCAGCACAGGAGAGGAAGCTGGAAGCAGCCTGAGCTTCCAYCCTTGGGAGGGGCTCCACGAGCCCTGGAGGTGACTTGCAGGCCAGAAACCAGGACCATCTCAGGACCCTCTCAGTGAGAGAGAAAAGGAAGTTGAGAAATGGGGTACTACCATGCCACTATTTATGGCCCCAGCTCCTCCCTGAGGCAATACTCTGTTTTCTACAGGGCATCTTACCAAAAAAAGGCCTGCAAATTTGGATGCGGAACTTGTATCAAGGTTTGGGAAAAGGCTTAGAATCATGGGGGAGGGAAGTGAAGGGTAAAATAAAAAACTGCACGTTTCAAATGAACAAAAATTAGTTTTGAGCCAGGTGAGATGGTACATGCCTGTAATCCCCGCAGCTCAGGAAGCTGAGGCAGGAGGATCTTGAGCAATTTAYCCAGGCCCTAAGAAACTTAGTGAGACCCTGTCTCTAAAATAAAATACAAAAATAGTCTGGGGATGTGGCTCAGAGGTTAAATGTCCCTGGGTTTAATCCCTGGTACCCCCCCAAAAAATTTAGTTTTGATACATGACTTCACCTATGAAACCATCAGCACAACCAGTCATTTGGGCTTCTCTAACATGCCCTGCAACCGTCCCTTCCTGACTTCTCATTTCCCAGGTAGCTGCTGATCTGCTCTTTTATCACTAGAGATTAATTTGCAAGTTCTATAATTTTATAGAGGTGGGATCATTTAGTATGCATCCTTTTTTTTTTTTTAAGCTTAGTTTTTTTGTAATTTATCCATGTTGCTCTGTATAGTGACGGTCCCCATAGCTGCAGATTCAGTCAACCTGGGGTAGAAGATATGTGTAAAGAAAAAAGTACATCTGCACTCAGTGTGTTACCACCCCCTACTCGTCATTATTTCCTGAGCAATACCACATGACAGCTACTTCCATAGCATTTACATTGCATTAAACATATAAGCAACCTGGAGATGATTTAAAGCATAAGAGGGAGGTTACATGCAAAAGCTGTGCCATTTATGCAGGGTACTTCTGCATCTGCAGATTTCAGTTTCTGCAGGGGGTCCTGGAATCAATCTCCTGTGGGTAAGAGGGGACAGCTGGATCAGTTGTGCCTTTTTATGCAGAATCCTTCCATCATATGAATGAGGCACAGTTTGTCCATTCACCTGTTGATGGACTTTTGGGTTACTTCCAGTTTTTGAGCATTACCAATGAAGCATGTTTTCATTTCCCCTGGGTAAATGACCAGGAGCAGCATGGCAGGGTCATATGGTAGGTGTGTGTTAAGAAACCGCCAAATGCTAAGGCTTTTGTCTGTCCTGCATTCTTGTTGAGCCTTGGTCTGCTCAGTTTTGATTTTTGCCAGCCTCTCCCTATGCCTTTTGTGTGTATTGCCCTGGTGACTARTAGTCTTTTCATGTGCTTATTGACCACTTGTTTTATTTTTCTTTGGGGAAATTTCTGTTCGAACTTTTGCCCATTTTTTAATTGGGTTGTTGGACTTACTATTATTGAGTCATAGAGTTTAGTTTGCTTGTTTTCCTGTGCTGGGAGTGAACAGAGGGCGTCGTCACTGTAGGCAAGCACTCTACCACTTGAGCCGCATCCCCAGTCCAGGATCCAGAGTTCTTTTATTTTTTAATTTTCTTTTATTTTTTTTATTATTAGTTGTTTAAAACATTACAAAGCTTTTGACATATCATATTTCATACATTTGATTCAAGCAGATTATGAACTCCCATTTTTACCCCGGATACATATTGCAGATTCACATCGGTTCCACATTCCACTTTTTTACATACTGCCATATTAGTGTCTGTTGTATTCTGCTGCCCTTCCAATCCTCTACTATCCCCCCTCCTCACCCTCCCCTCTCCTCCCATCTTCTCTGTCTACCCCATCTACTGTAATTCATTTCTCTCTCTCGTTTTTTTTCCCCTTTCCCCTCACTTCCTCTTATATGTAATTTTGTATAACAATGAGGGTCTCCTTCCTTTACCATGCAATTTCCCTTCTCTCTCTCTTTCCCTCCCCCCAGAGTTCTTTTATTTTGGATTTCATTTCTTGTCTAATGTATGTGTGATGAATCCTCTCAGCCAGTGTGGGCCTTGGCTTTTCTTTTTCTCCAACCCCCCCTCCCCCCCAGTTCTGGGGATAGAAATCAGGGCCTCACACATGCTCAGTGCTCTCCCACTGAGCTACACCACCAGACCTTTTAAAATAGTGTCTTGAGGTACAAAAGTTTTGACTTTGGTGAAGTCAAAAGTATCATTTGTTTGCTTTTGGGTTTTGTACTTTTTGTGTATGATCTAAGAAACCTTTGTCTACCTCCAAGTTTGCAGAGATTTTTTTTACCCCTTTGTATTTTTGCATGACAATGTAGGCATGATTACTTCTTTCTTTTTTTTTTTTTTAAAAGAGAGAGTGAGAGAGGAGAGAAAGAGAGAGATAATTTTTAATATTTATTTTTTAGTTCTCGGCGGACACAACATCTTTGTTGGTTTGTGGTGCTGAGGATCGAACCCGGGCCGCACGCATGCCAGGCGAGCGCGCCACCGCTTGAGCCACATCCCCAGCCCCGATTACTTCTTTCTTTATTTTAAAAAATATTTTTTAGTTGTCATTGGGTCTTTATTTTATTAATTTATATGTGGTGCTGAGAATCTAACCCAGTCCTTCACATATGCTAGGCGAGCACTCTACCACTGAACCCAACCCCAGCTCGCATGATTATTTCTTTTAAGTTGCTGAGGCTGGCCTCAAATTTGCAATCCTCTTGCCTTAGCCTCCTGAGTCAGTGGGGTTACAGGCATGTGCTACTGCACCTGACACATGAATACTTTTTAAATTTAAAATTTACTTTTTGAAAGTGTGAACGATCTTATAAAAATAGATATAAAGACTGCATATTATATGCTTTCTCCCCCACCTTTTTTTGTGTGGGTGGTTTGGGGATCCAACCCAGGGCCCTGCTGAATAAACATGTGCTCTCCCACTGAGCTGCACCCTCCAGCCCTTTGTGATCACAGTTGGACAAAGCACAGCAATGAGGAAGATCTGTGTCAGGACAGAGGTCATTCTGAAGAAGGGACACTGCCTGGGAGGTGCTTCTGAGGAGCTGGGAGTTTTTATTTTCTTGATTTGGGTCCTGGTTTTGTGTGTGGGGGGTTCAGTTTGTGGAAAATGTATCTGTTACAAATTTTAAATTACTTACTTTCTAGGACTGTGTGCAGCTGAATCAGTACACATTGAAGGATGAAATTGGAAAGGTAAATACCCCAGGAGTTGGGCTGGCTTTCCACCTTGTCCAGGGACTTTCAGACACTGTGGAAGGAGCTTATTGGAGCTGGGAGCGGAGAGAGGAGTCTTTGGAGGCAAGGCTGATGGGGGCTTCTACTAATAGGAGCAACCAACTGGACAGAGAAAAGATGGCTCCCGTCATTTATTTAAGGGGGTACAACAAAGGCAGGGATAAGGTTTCAAGAGCGGAGTCTTGCCTGTGATGTCTCAGTCAGGTTTATTGACATCTTGGCAGGCCACACCCATCTCAGATTCTGTGTGGGATCTCTGACAGAGTTTGAGGGGGAAGTGCACCTGCGTCAGGCTCACAGTCCCTGTGGGGGTGCCACGGGAGTTTCCCAATGCCAGACTTATCCCCTCATTAGGCTACTGTGTGCAACATAGCCCCCACTCAGCCCATGGATGGCAGTCTAGTGTATTTTTTTAATGGTCTAGTATTTCTATTTTTGTATATTAAAATTAAATGTTTCTGCAAAAGCTCAGAAAGCTTCCAGAGCAATGCCATATTGCTGTGCTGATCGTATGCATCCATTAGTAGATTTTTACCCCCTGAAGTTACTCTCACATCTGTATTTTTCTTTTGTTTCAGCCAAAGAGCAGTATTTTTACAGGGTCAAAAGCTCAAATGCCAGGAGAGAATGAGTCAGTAATATAAGTGGGCGTGGATATGAGATGGAAGATACTAGTGAGCAGTGAGGATTGTGGCAAAGCATTAAATTATGGAAATGAGGGCTCCTGAGCAAGGCAGGCTAGGTATGAAAGTAGGAAATAGTGAAATCAATGATGAACATTAGCGAAATGATATCTACATGTGGTTAGACCTCCCAGCTTTTTTCAAAAGAAGCCAGAAATGTGGGTTTTTAATATCAAATCTTTTCAAATATTGTCAACTAAATTCAAACTTTGTAGAAACTGCAGATCCAACAAAATACAGTTTCAGGGTGTTTGACCAATAGGCAGTGGTTTGCAGCCTGTGTGTCAGGGTCCTCATTGTGCAGCTGTGTCACTGGCATCTCCCTTTATCCAGGGCTCCTATGGTGTGGTCAAGCTGGCCTACAATGAGAACGACAACACGTACTATGTGAGTACCCACACTCCCCTCCCCGGGCCCCTCCTTATCCAATGCAAAGCCCTCTTTCCAGCGCTCACTTTCCTGGAAGGTGGACAGATCTGTGGGCTCATCTTCTTCGTAGCACCTTAGGGAGGAAGCAGGGTGCCCGTTGGACAGAGGGCAAGATGGGAAGGTGAAGTAATGCAGCTTCTGCCTCCTCCGTGGCACTGAGAAAAGGGCAGTAGCTGGGCAAATTGCCCCTGTGGAGGTGGTCCAATGTGGGTTCACACCTGGCTCTAGCGGGTGCCAAGTATGTGCCCTTGGCAAGGGGTGCTCCTTGGCACCTCAGTTCCCCCGTGTAGAGCATCCAGTGACGTCCTTCCTCAGCCCRTCTCACCGTCCCTGCAGCCCACTCACATTTGGATTCAGGGGCAGAGAGTCAAAGGCTTGAGGTTTTCCAGCTGTGTTCTGGGTCCAGCCTCCTTGGAACCCAGGGCTGCTTGGCCCCTGTGTTGATGGGGAGCTCACTGCCTTGTCCCGAGGCTGTCGTGGTGCCAGGAGGTCTGCCAGGCCTGGGGTGGAGGGAGCCTTTCCTCACGTTTGCTCCTTGCTGCTTTAACTGGACCTGGGGCCTTTTCTTCTGCAGGCGATGAAGGTGCTGTCCAAGAAGAAGCTGATCCGACAGGCTGGCTTTCCACGTGAGTKCGGTGGGCGGGGCCTTCACCCTGTGGTGGCCGCTGGGGCGAGGAAGGACCCTCCCTCCCCAGAGTTTCCCCTGAGGACAGTGCCAGGCCTCCTGCAGACATTCTGTGTTCACTTTCATTTAAGAATGTTTACTGAAGTGACGCAGGTGTTGTTCCCGTGAGCTTTTCCACACTGTGGCGTGATGGGTGCTTTGTCGCTGAGTCTTCACCAGCATTCACTGCAGGGCCCCTGGTGGCAGCAGCTGCTCCCACCCTGCTAAGTTCTACCTTTGCGCCCCCCCCCCAAACAGCTGCCCTCTGCAGGGGGGAGTCTCTCTGCCCTGACCTAGGCTGCCTTTGTGTCTCCTTGCAGGTCGCCCCCCACCCCGAGGCACCCGTCCTGCCCCTGGAGGTTGCATCCAGCCCCGGGGCCCCATTGAGCAGGTGTACCAGGAAATCGCCATCCTGAAGAAGCTGGACCACCCCAACGTGGTGAAGCTGGTGGAGGTGAGGTGGGGTGTGGAGGACGGAGGCATGGAGGTCCTGCCTTGCTTTGTGAATACCCAGATGCTTCGAAGCCACCGGTTTCCAGGGCGAGCCAGGTCGCACCACCTGGCACTGCAGAGCCAAGTGGTCTTTTGCTTCAGGTTCCCTAACTGTTGTTACTTTGTGTCACTGTCACCCCTCCTTATTCCCATTTTACAGATGGAGATGTTGAGGTCAAGGGCCACTCAGGTTTGCCTTCGCTCACTCCTGTGGGTGGTTGTGGTACAGAAGCAGAAACACATATGCTATAAATTCCAAGAAAACCTTATTTACAAAAACAGATTCAGGCTGCATTTGGCCTGCAGGCTGACGTTTGCCAACCCCTGCTGCAGTCAGCAGTACTTACAATCTTAATCTCAAGACTCCTTTATGCTCTTAAAGATGATTGAAAGGCCCAAATGACTGTGGCCTATGCAGGTTGTATTTATTCATATTACTTCTAAGAATATAAACTGAGACATTTAAAAATTATTTATTGATTGATTTAAAAACAGCAATAATGTTGCCATGTGCTCTGGTGCATGCCTGTAATCACAGCAACTTGGGAGGCTGAGGCAGGAGGATTACAAGGTTGAGGTCCCTGGGGAGCACATCCCTGCCTTTGGTGTGTGGGAGGCCACTGCCATACCTTGTCCAGGACCTACAGACCCTAAACCCTAGGTGGGCAAGGCCCGGGTCTGACTTGCCCACAGGGAGGGGCGTAGGGCTCCTGATGGGCAGCCCAGCTCTGCCTGGGCACACCTTTCCCAAGCCTGTTGGTGATTCTCGGTGGCTGGAGAATGTGGGAAGAGGTGGGAGGCCTAGTCTGTCCAAGGAGAGAAATGGCAGCTGCAGGTCACTCCCTCCATCATGGCTTCCAAGCTTCATGCTCTCGACTCCCTGATGCTGGAATTGGCCATCTTAGAGGAAGTTCCAGGGGCAGTTGGTTTGCAAGTGGCCCTGAGTCCTGGCAAAGTCTCCCTTCTCCCTAGTGTCCTGTGGTATCTGGTCTGTTGGCTTGTTTATTCCTGAGGTGTCCCTGAGCACCTCCTGTGTGCCCAGCCCTGCCTCAGACACCACTGACATAATGGAGGTGGTTACCCCTGTGCTGTCCATTGGTGAGAGGCAGTTCTGGACAGGGAAATGTCATTTCCTGCTGGGGTAGGGAGGGACAGGGCCACCTCATGGAGGTGCCACTAGAGCCAGATGGGCTCTGAATTTCATCTTGAAGACCAGTCTCTGTCTCTCCTAGGAGATGGGCTGGATTCTCACCCACATGTGCCAGAGGAGGCTTTGCCTCTCCCTGTGGTCACCTCCTTTCTGGGTGCTTGGGAACCTCGAGGACTGGGCTGGGGGTGCTTACTTTCCACTCTTTGGATCTCATGCTCTGAGGAGTCCTCTTGGGCCTTCCATCTTTTTTTTTTTTTTTT